CAATGTTTCTCTTTCTCTCCCTCCCTCCCACTCTATCTGAAGATAAACAGAAAAATATCCTCAAATGAGGATTCAAAATAAAAATTCTCAGAAGTGACCTTTCTCTCCACCAGCATAGTCAAGACAGGTAATTTTCCTTCCTGCCATCTGTGCATCTCACACTGTAAATGTGGTCCACAGAGTCCTAGCTTTAAGCAAGGGCTCCTAGTAGATTTTCTACCCAAAGTGAGCCCTGGACTTTATCTCCTGTCCCCAGTTTCCCATAATGTCATCAAAGCAGAATCTCAATGTCTTCAGGTTGTGACAAATAACTAGAGAGACTTGAAATTCACTCACCTCCCAGGGTTCTGAGCTTCACATTTCAGGACTCCAGACCCCTAATCTGCATATCAGGTCAGTATACATTTAAAATTAACACACACACACACACACCATCTATTTCAGGGCATCTAATCTATCATTCTTCCATTACTACCAGACAAGGAAATATTATTCTCTACTTAGTCTTGACACCTTCCTCTTCTTTCCCCACTTTAAACTGATTTAGACAGCAAGTATTTCCTTTAATCTAAGAAATTTCTAACCCATCCCCCTCTGCTAATTCAGGCCCTGTCTCAATGACCAATCTTTTCATCACACTAAAATTTGGAAGCAGTGAGAGAACAAGATCAACTCTGAACTGTCCTTTGGGTTCTGATCCATCCTAGCAAGTTCTAGTTTGTCCTTGTTCTCCCCTACTTCATGTCCATCTTCCCTTCCTGACAGTGTGCTTGCTCTATAGACTTCAAGACACAGCACCAAACACAGAAGCAAAAACTTTTCGTAGACTTTAGCTTCTCTAATTGAATACATTATAGGTATAATGCCTATAATACATTTCTTATTATGTTTACTAGTGGTTTGCATCTCTGATCAAACCCTGAGTGATTAAGCAGTATCTAGGGATCTGTCTCACGCCTTCGAAGAGCTGCTGTGTAATCCAGCAAATGATGTAGCTTACTTTATTCAACAACCAGCATCCCTAGTGATGGACAAAATGGTGCTGCAATGAATAGTAACATTTTTTAAGACCTCTACCAGTATGTATATCTCTGAAACTGATTCTCAGCAGTGGACTATAGGTCAAGGGTAAATAATATTTCTAAAAGGTCCATTCCCTCCTTAAAATTTATGACTTCTTTTGGAGAGCATGCCAGGAACTGTTGCAGTCAGAGATCAGCAGTTTTCAATATCCACTTACCATCATTGCATAATAAAACGTTCAGTTGGGCACTAAGCTCTCAGTGGCCCTGTGATTAAGTTCTGACCAAAAGCCCTGGCCGGTTTGGCTCAGCGGTTAGAGCATCAGCCTGCGGTCCCGAGAGACCCGGGTTTGGTTCCCGCTAAGGGCATATACCTTGGTTGCAATTTGTCTCCGGCCCTGGTCGGTCATGCGGGTGGCAGCCACTCGATGTGTCCCTTTCACATCGATGTTTCTCTCTCTCTCTCTCTCTCTCTTCCTCTCTTCCTCCCACTGTACCTGAACAAAAAATGTCCTCGGGTGAGGATTAAAAAAAAAAAAAGAAAGAAAAAAAAAGTTCTGACCAAAAGAACGTGAGTAGATTAAACAGGTATAATTTCTAAGCCATTCATTAAAGAGAAGAGTTCTTGTCTGCACCCACCCACTTCCCAGGCCTGAGATGTTTATATGGTGTTAGAAACAGAGTGGCCATCTGGGACCAGAATCTGAAAGTCACACATTAAACACAACAGAGAAACCAGACAGAAGAGCTCTGGTACTCTGACAATGAAGAAGCCGCCACACCAGCCCTGGACTGGTAAAGTAGGTATTTATGTGAGAGAAATCAACCCCCATCTTATTTACAGCCTTATGGGGTAAGCCTAACTATATAACTAACTGTTTTGGAATTGTCTAATTCATGAATACATCTATATACTTACGACATCATTCCATAAATAAAATTTAAGGGCTTAAATGCATCGATTTTATAAACATCGCCTTAGACTACTCAAAAGTTCTCTTTATTTGACTATTTTCCATTTAGCTGACATTAATGGATAATTAACCTAAATGAGCTATTACATAATGAACACCGCTCCCAATTATGTTTACAAAGAACTGTCAGCCTGGTATTTGTAAAATAATATACATCTATACTTATTACTCTATGAACCTTCACAATATGAACCCTTTTTAAAAATCTAAATGTAAAGGCCCATATCTTTAGTCCACTCTGTTTTAACTATTCCCAAATGTATGCTGGAAATTCAAGAAGAAAGAATGTTAAGGAAAAAGTCCATTAAATGATTATTTATGGATACCAAAGTCTTTCGATTGCTACTACTTAGAAATCATCAAGCTATTCTGGTCTTGGAAATTAAAGCATGTTCTTTTATTGATCCATTTGATAGTCAATACAGACATATCTTCCACAAGGCATCTCAGATAACTGAATCAAAATGCTCCGTTTCTTTCTATATCATTCCAAACTAGTGGAAGTTTGACATTTACTTCACCAGTGGGAAGCAGATCTGACAGATTAACACATAGAGCCGGAGAAGAGTGAGCTGCATGGAGGCAGCATCCAAGAATCAGTGTCAGACCATTCAGAGCTCCCCTCCACCCTTACTCCCACCCCCCAAAAAAAGCAGAAGCCAGAATATGGTTAGCTGCAAGATACTAATTTGAACCAAAGGCCAAGTCAAAGAAAACCATGGGTTAAAAGCCACCATGAATTCTATACAAGAACCAATAATAAGATAAAGTAAATGGAGATAAGCAACTTCAGTTATTACTTCAGAACTGACCTTAAGCAGTGATTCTCAAAATTGAACATGAGTCAGAATTACCAGGAGGACTAAGACAGAGCCAGCTGGGCCTTGCTCCCAGGGGTTCTAATTCAATAGGTCTTGAAGGAAGACTGACAATTTGCATTTCTAATAAGCTCTCAGGAATCTGATGCTGCTGGCCCTGGGATCAACTTTGATAACCACCTAGAGAACATTTGCATGAAGACTTTGGTGGCTAATTTTTCTTTCTTTTCTTCTGCAGAAAAGCTCTCTAGCTGTGAAAAATCTACTACCTTTGTGGTCTTTACTGAGCCACTGGGGGGTCAAGAAAACATGCAGAGTGACAGTCCTTGAAATAGCACCTAATCAACCATGGGAAACTTCTAAAAAATGCCTGAACCATGATCCTCATCAGGGACTTTCATAATCTGCCCCAGGACAAATTTCTGAAGCTTATTCGCTTAGTTGGAATCCTATAATGCTAACATTTCCTTTACTAATCCTGATTTCAAAATTTCAGCAAAGTGAATGTTACTCTTCCAAATGTTTCTTACGCAGTCTCCATTTATTAAATACTAAAAAAAAAATCTGCATTAATTGATAAGCTATTATAGCTGGTTGGCCTCACAAACATAATTCCCATAAGGGTATCCAAATTATTAGAAATCAAATAGCTACTCAGTATACACCGTCGATGCTTTCCTATTCACCTCAAGATTTTAAATTATTAGATTAATTACTTGTTATCCCATAATAGGACACAGATAATAATACAGTTCCCCAAAAATATGAGAGATAAATTTAAAATATGTTTAACTTAAGAGCAACCAGAACTCTGATAAATCTCTAATGGAAGTGTAAAATAGTGCAATTACTTTGCAAAACTCTCTTCAACGGGTTCTTTAAAGCTAAATCTATATCTAATTGTTACACACTGACTTCATTCCAGGATGTTTATTATCCAAAAGAAATAAAAACATATTCACAAAAACATACATATAAGAATGTCCCTTGCTTAACTCAAGCTCCGAGACTGAGGCACAGTACACACACACACACACACACACACACACACACACATGCATACACACACACACATGCATACACACACACACACATACACGCACACACAAATGTCCCTAGTAACTTTGTACAAAATAGGCAAAAACTGTCAAATTGTGATCTATTCATACAATGGAATGCTACTTAGCAATAAAAAAGAAATAAGCTACTGATATAAGCACCAATATGAATGAATTTCAAAAACATTAGGTTGAACAAAAATTCAAACACAAAAGAACATACACAGTACTGTGTGATTTCACTTACATGAAGCCTCAAAATAAGCAACTTATCTAGGACAATAGTAATCAGAAAGCGGCTAAGTTTGGGATAGGGAGAATGGATTGACAGGGAAGATGAATTGATTCATCATTCCTGGAGTGATGAAAATGTTCTATGTCTTGCTTTGCACATTGGTCACATGGATGTACCGGACAGCCAAAAATGTATCCAACTGAACATTTAATTCCCATGAATTTTATTATATGTAAATCACATCACAATAAAATATTTTATGCTTAACTATTCAAAGAAAAGAATGATCTGCCAAAGCAATGTTTCCTGAATTCAAAATATACTTCAGAACAAGTAATCAGATCTTAAAATTTCGATTCCAGCTGATAAGCAGTCACAGATGAGTGTTAACAGAATCATTATTTTAAGCTAAGAAGAGCATGACTCAATACCACAGCTTTCTTAAGACAGTCATCCCAATGTAGTCCTGATGTCACAGCATTAAGAGTGCCTCCTTCACTATCAAAAATGTTCTAATTCAGATTAAGTCCTATATAGATAGACACTTTAGCTACAAGGGCATTTAATATTAGTATTTAGTACAATGAGCTCATTCACTTTTTCATTCAACCCACATTTACTAAGCATCTACTATGTAGATAACCATAGTCCCTAAGTTCTCAAATAATTCATACTGCTGCTTTTTTCCACAATTAAAATATGAAATGGCTAGATAAATTTTCCTTAAATGTAACATAAAATATACAACTGAGAACAAACTAAATATGAAACAAATCAGAATTTTTTTCTACAGGTAAATATAAACCAAACTTACAAGGGAAAACATAATTTTTGAACAGTAAAAAACAAAAATATAAAGATATTCACAAATATAAAATAAAGAAAACCTTTACCTGCTGCCCTGTAAAGTATTTTAGGTTCAAAAAATATACAAGGATTTTTATCCTCTATGCATGACAAAAGAAGTCCCTTGGCCTGGAAAGGGCTTCTGGGTACAACCACCTGCAAAAACAGATTTTTTTAAGACAATTTTAGTTCAAATGTATCCCAATAAACTCATTATAAGAAGGGTTGATATTTAACTAACCAATAGTTACTAATTAAAGATAGAAATCTAGCATTTTAGCCTAATTATAATTTTTTATAAAAATTTACATACTGTCTCAAAATATTCCACTTGTTCAAGATTTATTAGATGCCTATCATATTCTGGTCACTAAAACTGCTCTTCTCTTAAAGGAGCTAAACTTGCATATATATTTAAAAAATTAAAAGATTCTACAAAAAGTATTCATCAAAACAAAACAGTAAAGCTGTTGATATCTCTCCATATTTACCTATTCACAAATAAATATTTTCTACTAATACTCTACTGCTAATTTCATAGGGTGTCTAACTCTCTTCTCCAACTTTAAATATCAAAATCTCCTCTTCCATAAAAAACATGGTCTGCATTTCCTATGTGAAATAGTAATCCAATGAACTCTACGATCCAGGCACTATAATGTCCAGTTATTGCAAAGCTAAAAGAAAAGTGGATACTACACACTTTCTTGACAGGAAAGGGCTCCAGTTCCTTCTTGATGAGGTTGATAATGAGGAAGATGATAATGACAACAGGTAGCACATGTACTAACGGGGCCAAGAACTCTATGTGGACTAATCCATCTCCTGTTCATAGCAACCCCACAAGGTAGCTATTATTATTTCCCCCAATTTAGAAATGGAGACTAAAGCTTAAAGAGAGACCAAATAGCTTCCCAAAGGTTACATCACTTGCTAGACCAGAGATTCTCGGCCAGTTCTGACTGATACACAACTCAAGTTCTTAACTTCGACACCATTTTGCCACAAATCACAAACTTGTATCTACTTTTTAATGATTGTGAAATTAACTATATAAAGACAAGAGTTACACAGAGTTACCATTAAAATAAACCTAATTTTATCACAAAGGCTTAAATAAGCGTCCTTGAAGCAAGCTATAATTTGGCTTTCAAAATTATTCTCATATCATTTTTATTAAAGGATTTTTACTTAAAAAATAAAACAGCAGTTCAATTCTCGCTATCTCTTTTTCTGTAAACAGAACTGCTGGACACATTGCTCAGCACAACCCAGTGTCTTTATCTTGTGTTCCTACTTCATTCTTTCTTAATGCTTCCTTCATGTATATATTTTCAGCATTTTGTACTGTATGTACATCTTCATTCGGGATTAAAAAAAGAGAAAAGGGAGTAGAGAAAGCAGAAGAAAGAGAGAAAAGATCTGTTCTTAAAAATACTGGGTAAATCATCAGCTCAAGCACAACAATAACTATTGCCTCAAATGTGCTTCTATCCCAACTCACCACCTCCAGCTTACATTGAAAGTTATGAAACCTGTGCTCAACTGAGAAAACTTTACGCCTTTCCTCTAGTAAAAAAAAAAAAAAAAAAAAGCAATTAAAAATAAAACATAGACACACATTCACAACCAGTTCGTGTGATCAAAAAACAGACATACAGCCCTGGTAGACATATCAATGAGTTTTTATAATGATTCCCTAGAAAGCACTTCAGTAAATTGAACTAGAAAAGAAGACAATGTAAAAAATTAATACTTAAAATATGAAAAACGTTTTTATTCAAAGACCTAAGTTGTTACAGAAGCCTAAAATTGTTGTGGAAGGATATAAAAGAAAGATGCTTCAAAACTGATTATATGAGCAAATATTACCTTACCTGGATTGAAAAGCATACCTAGGTAACAAAGGCTCCTCCTGGTCTATTTAAAAGAAATAGACTAAAAGCAAAAGCCTTATCCCTCTATGAATTAAACAGTAGACTAATTAAATTATCCCCAAATCCATTAAATGAAAAAGACCTATTAGAAAGAAACATAGAGCTTTGAAAGAGAGGAATGATAAACTATGTTCTCAGTCTTATTCTTTGAAGCCTAAAATTACTATCAGGGTCAAACCAGGTGCTGCTTCAAAAGAATATTCTATAAACCTGAGCAATGGATTAGTGGATCTAAAAGAAAAAAAACAACAATAACTAAACTCTCCTTTAAAAAGGTTTACGTAAATTCCAAAAATTCTGTTTGCTTTCCTCTAGATAAGCATATTAGTTAATATTAATAGAATGAACCAAAATGGAAACATCAAATGGAAATCAAATAAAGTACATAAATGAGGATACCTTGATTCCTGGGCAGTGGGCAAAAAAAGCTTCAGGACTCTGAGAATGATAGAGAGCCCCGTGGCCAACACAGCCCCAAGGGGAACGGATGGTGAGGCTTCCACAATTAAAAAGATCCCCAGAGCGATATCGATACTTGGCGGCTTCATTAACAATCTGAGGAGGAAAAAGAGAAGGGACGTGTCACAGCAAGTTCTTTATGCCCATCCATTTTCTTCAACCTTCTTATTAGATCTTTAAATATATGCCTATAACAACGTAACTTGTAATGTGCTAGCTCAAAGGTAACAAAAATTCCCTAAAGTAGGAGAGTAGAGGCGAAACTTCAATACTTCATGAACTTAACCTTAGAGGTGATTGATTACAGTAAAATGCAATCTTCCTACCTGATCAAAAGCAGGGTATATATAATCTGCAAACTGAATTTCTGCAATGGCAGTAGCACCAGTGACTGCAATTCCAATCCCAAATCCAACAATTCCTTGTTCACACAATGGGGTATTAAAAACTCTATCTTTTCCTAAAAAAAAAAAAAAAAGTCATCGTACTATGACAAATGAGAGTAAATCAATGAGTTGTTAACAGTGAGATGGAGAAAAAAAAGCAAACGACAGGTGAAGGAAATAGAAAATAACTAGTATGGTGGCTGGTTTAAATGCAAACATAGTAATTATATTAACTGTAAGTAATCTAAATGTTACAATTAAAAGACAGATTGTCATACTGGGATTTTTTTAAAAATCAAAACCCAACTACTTAAAAGAAAATAAATAACAGAGATATCAGAAAGTTGTAAAGAAAAAGAAAAAAATATATACAATGAAAAAAACCAACCCAAAGAAAGTTATCAACTACATTAACAGCAGACAAAGGAGACTTTCAAGGAAAAGGCATTCCCAGAAATAAAGAGGGGAAATTCATTCTTTAAAAGGTTCAATTCACAAGGAGGATATAATTCTAACTTTAAATTCTTGTAACAATATGGACTTAAAATAAATAGAAAAAGAACAGAATTAAAAGAAGAAATGTATGAATTCTCAAATAGTGGGAAATTTTAACATACCAATCTCAGTAACTGATAGATAAAAACATCAAAATAAAAAAGCAAAAACTAAGTAAGATTTGATCACCATCAAAAAACATGACTTAACTGATAGATACTACACCTAACAGGTAGGAGCACAAATCCTTTACAGGTGAATAGAGAACACTGGTATTAATTGACCATAGATCTAATCTCAACAAATTTCAAAGAATTAAAATCATATAGAGTATATCTCTGTCCATGGTGGAAATATTATTAATAGATTTCAGGTCTGCCCTCTAAAAAGGAGACAGAGTTTGGAGTTTGAGGTTAATCAAATTAAAGGAGCTTGATAAACAAACACGTTAGGCTTTTCATTGAAATCACGAGGTACAATTTTATTCGCATACAACTCAATTCTCATCTGAAATTTTACCACCTCCCAACCAATATCAACATTTCACAAAAAATTCTAATTTCAGACACCTGGATGGATGGACACAAGCAACAGCCATGGTCTGGCCAACTGACCAAATTTTGAGGACAGATCCAGAGATACCAGTTCTTCTTGGCATGTAGAATTTACTGTCAGCTCAATCAGTCCTTTTGAATATGAACCACAAATAGGGCAGATACTAGGAAATGCCAACTAGACATATCCTATAGTTTGCACTCTAAAAGCAGCTGCCAAAACTTAAAAGCATGATTCATACTCATGACGATTTATGACTACCTTCTGATTGTGACCTCTATTCCTCATCAGTTCCCTATTTGACTGTGAGCTGCTTGATCATATCTGAACATTTATGATTCCATTGAATTAAGAACAATTCACTGGTAACAAATGAACACAGACCCCAGCTGCCACCTGTAGAATCCACATCCGTGGAATACCTGAACCAGAGAAACAGTTTTCTTATTTATTCCTTGCTGTTTCTAATTCCCTGGATTCAGATCTTTTTCATCTTAGTGAATATAACTTTTTTGGCTGCTAGAAGGCAGAAAAGTTGATTTTCTCAAAATTCTTACTCCAAAAGATGCTTAGTTTGAGGAAATAACTCTCTTCATGTTTCTATGATCTAGCAAAAAAATGCTTCAACATGAATGAAATGTTGAAAATCCATTTCTATTTCCTCCCAAACAGTAATGATTGAGGGTAAGAGCACACATAAAATGAACAACACTGATTACTTTTTCTGTTACAATACAATTAACCTGATATAAAGTTCACACACAGTACCCAATGAGTGAATTAATAATATGTACAGTAATTGCACTATTAGCCAAGACAGATGAGGGTTTAAGTGTCATCTCCACAAATTACTAAGCTCCTAAGGCTCACTTTCTATGTGTAACAAAAAATCATAATACCGAAAAGATGAAAAATTCATACTTATTCAAACACATACAAAGTACCTAATATTGTATGGATGTTATTCTAGATGTAGAGAATACAACAACAGCAACAAAAATCCTATCTTATTGGGAGTTACATTCCAGTCAGGAAAAAGCCAATACAAAATAAACGAGTAAAATATACAGCGTGTTAAACGATGACAAATACTATGGAGAACAGTAAAGCGAGCAGTGGGTGATTGGGGGAGCAGGTGGGACTAGTGCGATTTTAAATAGGAAGATGGGGAAAGACCCATTGAGAGATCACATTTGAAGAAAGAGTGGAAGGGAGTGAGGAAGTGTACCATGCAAACATCCAAGGGAATATATGTTCCAGGCAGAGAGACCACCTAGTGCAAAGGTCCAGGGTAAAGCATGTTTAGCACATCAGGGGAAAGGTAAAAAGTTCAGAATGTCTGGTCAAGAGTAAGAGAAATAGTGATAGGAGACAAAGTAGAAGAGTTAAAAGGATGGGATGGGAAGATGGCACCGAGCAGACAGGGTCTGTTGTAAGCACTCCAACTTTTACTGTGAGAATGAGTCAAGTAGAGGAGTTGACAGGAAGTCAATGAACATTCTCTGAAATTGCATTTCAACAGGATCCCTCTGGCTGGTATTTGGTGAATAGCCTATAAATAGGCAATGTGGACACAGCAAGATTGATTACAGGATACCGAAATAATCCCAGTAAGAAATGATGAATCATAATAGCAGAAAAGGTATGAGGCTTTGGATATAGTCTAAAGATAGAGTCAAAAGAATTTGCTGATTAAATGGATGTGAAGTATAAATTAGAGAAATGTTAAAGATGATTCAAAGGCTTTTGCCCTTAGCAACTTGAAGGAGAGACTTGCCATTAACTAAAAAAGGGAAAACCATAAAGAAGTATGTTGAGATATCAGGAGTTCAGTTTAGAGGTATTAAGTTTAAGACGCCTTCAGACATTAAGATAAAGCTATTACTTTGACTGTTGGACATATAAAAGTCTTAAGCATATAGATGACATTAAAAAATATGGGACTAGCCCAGCCGGTGTGGCTCAGTGGTTGAGCGTCAAACCATGCACCAAGAGGTTGCCTGTTTGATTCCCGGTCAGGGCACATGCCCAGGTTGTGGGCCCAATCTCCAGTGGGAAACATGCAGGAGGCAGCCAGTCGATGTTCTCTCTCATTGATGTTTCTCTCTCTCTCCCCCTCTCCCTTCCTCTCTCTCTAAAATCAATAAAGAAAAAAAAAATTCTTTTAATATATATATGGGACTAGATGAGGTTACCAAGTAAATTTAAATTAAGTACATAGAATAAAAAAATCCAATGTTACAAAGACAAGAGAAAAAAAGAGAGAGGAGCAACAACTAGCTGATGAAGAATTATGTGACCAATAGCGGGACTTTATTTTTAACGATGAAAGGAACAACAGTTTATATGCAGGCTGACAGGAATGAACAGTAGAGAAGGAAAAATGGATGGTTTCAAGAAGAAGAAATAGAGAGAGAAGGAAAAATGACTTGAACATGTCTTTAAAAAGATCAGAGGATGACAGGAACCCTAACATTCATTCAAAACAGGAGGAAAGAGTATACACACTGATAAAAAAAACATGGGTATATGCAGTGGTGAGATCTGGTAAAAGTTCTGTTAGTTACATCTGTATTATTAATAAAATATGAAACTAGATTATTAGCAAGAGTAAGAATAGAGAAGGCAGTGTGATAAAGTCCCAGGAACATGCAGCATGATGGTAGGCAGCATGAGCTGGCCCTGGAGAGCACTAGTCTTGAAATTAAAGTGAGATCATTTGGCAAGGTGATATGTGTTGTTCAAACAATGTTTGGCTCAGGAATTTACAATTCAGACAGAGAAATAGATAAAGAACTGGATTTTGCTAAGCAAATAATAACACGAAATATAAACTAGGTATAAAGGGAAGAAAGGTCATCAGGGGGACAATGACAGGTCAATGGAATTCATGAATTTTAAGAATCAATAAGGTCAAAAGATTGTTGGGATAGAAGTACTGGAAACAGTGAACTAGAGAGGTTCAAGATGGAGGTCAGAGTTGGGATGCTTAAAGTTGAGATTATGAAGAAAACCGCAGTCACTGACAATGACAAAGTCAGAGATATGACTAAAAGTGAGAAGATGGCCCAGCCAATGTGGCTCAGTGGATTGAGCACTGTCCCATATGGACTGAGAGGTCCCAGTTTGATTCCCAGTTAGGGCACAAGCCCAGGTTGTGGGCTCGATCCCCAGTGTGGGGCATGCAAGAGGCAGCTGACAGACATTTCTCTCTCACATGGATGTTTCTATCTCTCTCTCCCTTCCTCTCTAAAAAAAATAGAGAGAGAGAGAGATAGTGAGAAGAAGAGGTAGGATGGAAAATAAGACCACTAGAGGAGAGACGAGTAAAAAACTGAGAAGCCAGAATATTGAGAAGTCTGTCCACATGGGTAGTGACAGGAGTAATAAATAGAGAGGTTGATAGTGAGCCAGCCTAGGAACAGAGATTGGCCTGGAGTCAACAGATGCCAAAGAAGTGTAGTGTGGCAATTGTTTAAAAGCTCTACCATTAGTAACCAAAAGTTAAAAAAAAAAAAAAAAAACAACCTTTACGTGATTAATTAGAAAAAAATATCATAGGGTAAATTAATCTTTCATTTAAATAAATATTTTTAAATTAAAGAGACTACAGGGGCACTCCAGGTTGTAAACTGGGGGATAAAAGAAATTCAAAGTTATACCTACAAGAAATTCACAAGGGGCAAAAAAATATTCTTTATATAAATCAAAAAGAAAAATTAAGTAGAGAATCCATAAGATAACTTAATGATCATGTAAATCTTATGAATGGGTATGAAAGGACAGCAAGCAGAAAAACGAATTACTGAATTACAAAACCCTAGCACTACTGAAGAGCCGATCATCAGACTTACATTCTTCAAATAGGGAAACTGAGTCTTGATTTAATTGACTTACCCAAAGTCAACAGCCAGTATCTGACAGCCCTACTACTCTAATCAAGGCTTGTTCCATTGTACTAGAGGAATTTCTTTCCTAAATTGGCTGTTGCAAGCTACTCAACTCATAAATGCTCAAATATATC